TCACATTTGTGTCAATATTTGGACTAGCCATGAAATCCATGGCCAGCAATTTAGTTCTGGTCGCAAGGTCAACTTCGGTTTGAAAACAAACATCTGTGATGTGCACTTACTTTTCGGCCAGCTGTCCAGCTTCAAAGATTCGTTTTGCACAGTAGCCAACCGAAGATTTTTAGCCAGCTACCGTATCTTCTAGATTCAGTTAGTTTTTGTTATTTTCATGGCCGTGGCAAATTTTGAACTGTTTTTCATCAAAACAATGAATTCCTTGGCATGTGCCCTGCTGTAGGGATCTCAGATTTCCACAGATTATTTTATTCGCAGGCGATCCTTTTATTTCTGGCTAATGGCCATGATCAAAAGGTAATTGAAATCGCCCCAATTCGCTGGACTTCTGGCCACCCAAAAACGTAATTGCACCATAATTTTGATCCCATTTTAATGACTTTATTTACCCAAGAGTCAGCTGCTGCTGCAGCTCCCAGCGAAAAATAAAGAAGATTCATCCAAGATCGCGATCCCAATCCCAGCCATCCGTGCAACAATTGAAAATTCCCCTTCCTCTGATTGCAAATTGCATTTTAATCAGCTCTATTGTGTATAATTAAAATGTGTTTAGCGCATTTCCTGTGGGGTCCACTCAATATATATACTTTTTTAAAGCCCTTTCGTTTTTTTTTAAACTAGCCCAGCCCTTCGGTTGGCTGAAATGAAGTTATCAACACTTTGGCACAAATTTTCTGCCTTCTCTTATTAAATTGGCTGGGGGTTCGGTTCCTCTGTGGATTGTGGATCGGCTAATTGGCCTGGGATCGCATGACAGCCACGCGTGTCCACTGAAAGGAGATCGTGGATGGCATTTAAATAGCCGGCGAGCACGCAAATAGCTCGAGCCCACGGATCAGGAATCGATGGCTATGGGCACAAAAGATCTCGGGGAGAAAGCATCCTCCTCTTGGGACCGAGACCAATTAATGTGGAGAAAAGGAAAAAGTTTATGCTTCCGATGACCGATTTTTAAGGCCTCTGTGAGCTTGTAAGAAAGCACAGCAAATAAAACATTACCCATAAAATATCTAATTGGCTCATGGCATACTTAAATTTATTTTGTAATTTTATTTTATTATTTCAAATTCATATCTTAATTATAAATTCCACCTTATCTGCTCTATAATACCCCCACAACTTACTTAAGAACGAGCCTGGATCTTTGGCTATAATGAACGTCGATCATTAGGCCGCATAAATGGCAATTAAAGACAGCGACACGTTCCAGCACTTTGGGATCTGAGGATCTGAAAAGACAAAGAACCTTGGTGGGGGCGGGGAATATCATAACCCTCCAGAGAGATTCTAGGGTACCGATATACGCTGGCTGGTGGTGTAAATTTCCACAAACTGCGATGACCAAACACAAAACACAAGGACCCGAGAAAAAAATATGAAATTATTAAAACTACAAGAGGACTGCTCTTATCCTTGCCTCGTCCTTTTTGAGCCCTCCCCCGACTCCCGATGCCTTGCAGTAGATAAAGCAAATGGAGAAATAATAATAAAAAAAAGTAACAAATACCAAGGGCTATTAACGACCGCAGGATCGGGAAAAAAGTGCGGCGTCATGGGGGAGATATCTTTATAATGCCAGGAAAAGAGAGATGTCAGTGCCGTGCTCCTCCGTTGAGTAAGTCGTAAATTTCATTGACTTTATCCTGGAAGTCTATCAATTTTTCATATTTAACACCATTGTCCTTTAATAATCCTTTTGGGGCTGCCGAAGGCCGAATCGAAATCACCCACACAAACTCGAAAAATCATGCGGGATCCGATTTTTTCGGGGGAATCAGGTCGCATAAATCGTCGATTTGGAGATACTTATCGCTGGAGTGATATGCTCTTAAATATTACTAGACTGTGTGGTCTGTTCTGAACTTTGAATTTTTTTGGGGGGGTAAGTACTATTAAGTGTGGAGTACGGTAAGAGATACTGGCTCATAAGGGTTCCAATCGGCTTAGTTACATAAGGCGCTTCTGCGTCTTAAAGTCGATCTATAGAATTTTGTTTAAGGTAGTTCCCCTTAGCAGATGTCTTTTACTTACTTGTTACCCCTTGAAGGATAAGTTCTAAGATGTAACATCATTACATCCATTGTGTTGCATAAGTTCCTGGTGGAACCACCAAATATTTCCCGAAAGTACCTCCATTTCAGTTTTCCCTCCTCATAGAGCACAGCCTAACCACTTGATCCCCACTCTCCTGGTCATTTTCCTTTTCTTTTCATCAACCCTGGAGGCCAGTCAAGGGGTAATATGGTTCAACACCAATTTAAACACTTCATGCATCTTGTTAGCTGCAGCAAAACGATTCACCCTTCCCCAATCCCCAGTCCGATTCGAAACCCAGTGGATGTGTAATATGATATGCAGCGTTTTCCTCCGTCCTTAGAGTCCGAATCTTGGCGATACATTCCCTCGGGGGCCGGCGAAAGGAAGTGATCCGCTCCTCCAAAAGGTAGTTGTTCATCTCCCCCACTATTGCCCCAAAACAAAAGACTGCTAAACGTATTGATTTCGATACAAAAATAAAGGAGAATCGATACAGATACGGATACTATATGCTGACTTCGGTTAATGGCCCTTGGCCTGACCCGCTTTGTCTTATAATTGGATTTAGATTAATTGCATCTTGACCGGCAAGAATCGAACGAAAGTAAGAAAAAAACTGCACATGAAAAATTACATCAGGAAAGAGAGATGCAGAGATACTACAAAAAATAACCAAACAAAACAATCATAATTCTGTTTCCAGGGAAATCGAAATTGTAACAGGAGAGCGCCAGGCATTAGAAATAATCCCATCACGCATCCCAAGGATCTCGTATCTTGTATCTCGTGGATTTCTGCGAAAGGTCGGCGTGTGCTACTCGTCTTGTGTATATTTGTTTTTACTTATCCCGCTGCGATTTCGGCCATCAATATAGGGAACCGCAAAATCATTCCGTACTTTGGTATGTTTTTATGTTTGTTTTGGGTGCCGCGTTGCGGTCCTTGCATAATTTCCACCGATCGACGGGGCACTTAATCATTAATTAGCGTTAGATCAATCTACTTCTTTTCATCTCTCTGGGGATCTCTGGAGCTGGAGGTAACTCGAATTCCCCTGGCTGGCTTTTTATTTTATATTTTTGCTTCAAGAGGAGACAACATCGCTCGTTGACGGCAGTCATGTTACTTTTAATGATAATTGCCGCCTCACAACTCATTTTTCACATTGATAAATGCGATTCGCACGACCGAGTCGCGTTGGCATCGATGTTGCCACTTCTGGGTTGGCTTTTTTTTTGCATTTTCCGGGGACTGGTTTCCCTGGGTATTCGGATCTCGAGAGCCACCCGAGATTTGCATGTGAGTGTGCTGCAAGCTGTCGACACATCGAGCTTTAATCACCAGGTGGCAAACAATATGATATCTAAGAGCTCAGAATAATGTTCGATTATCAGAAATTACTTTGAAAAAAACTCAAAGAGGAAATCTGTTTTCCCTTTTCTAGTATGTATAATAAATTATTACATTTTTCGCTATATCACCTAGATATTAACAACGCGAAGGATTCCTTGCCCCATTCGGTATTTCGAAATCCCCCATGGGACACATTGTGACCCCCCGAGTCCGCAGAGGGTTAACAAGAAAGGGGGAATCAAAAAGCGTGCAGAACAACAAAAGCCATCACAATTTGTCTTGATGGTCCGAACACAAAAAATAAAAAACGGCCCAAAGCGCTACCACCAAGTATGCTGCTCCCTGCCTTCCATCCATATCCAGCTCCTTTTTTTTTGCACTTTTTCTGTGCCATAAACCATTTAAACATTTTCAACTTGTTAGCAATTAATTAAATAGATCGGCCGCTGGCCAAACAGCTTCGACTGTCATTTTTCTTGCCGTCTCTCTCGCTCGTCGCTAAGCCCGTCTCTTTCGCACCTCTTAGCCGCCCGTTAATTACGGCGACAGCATTCAATTTTTATGGATGACACACGCCCCATTTGCATGCCCTTCTTTTTGATTTGCGCCCCCCTCCCCACTGAAAGAGCAAAGTCTGGCAACGCTGCGGCACGCTTCAAAAACAAAAGGACCGCCAAAGGTTCGGTTTACCAACGGCAACGGCAACCCTTCTAGCCCGTCTCTTTCGCACACACACACTCGCCCCATCCCGCTCGCACCATTTGGAAATTTATTTCGCTGTTTTTGCAATTTAAGGTAATTATTATGTACCTTTGGGGTAATTTTAACACCTCGACACCATCGACAAATATCATCTGGAGAGCGGGGTCTTTTGCGCGTGCACAGGCACAGGAATATATGTATATATATCAGAATATATATTGTAGCGGCTATCAGGCCACCGAAATCTCAAAAGCAACAGCAACAACGACAAACGTTTCTTAGAAGCGCAGAGCTTTCAACACCTTCGATGCGTGCCCAACCGAAGGAGCACATCCTATCCGCCAGCCCCTCACCCCGGTCACCATAACCCCCATAACCCTTCCGCTTGCCCAGGGATCCCCGATCCCCAACCCCCAACCCGAACCCGAACCCAAGCCCCTTAACCCACCACGTACGCACTCTTGGCCAGTTATTTTTCACACCTCGACAACATTTTTTCGCACTTGGAGCGGCATATTCGGTTACCACAACAATCAAGCATTGCCGCCACCGCCACGATATCGAAATGCACCGAAAAAAAATTAAGGAGATACGATTCCAATAATCCTAATGGATTGTCACTACTATTAAATTTTGGGATGCTCAAGAATTCACGTCTCTTGCAGGCTCTATTGTTACATAAATAAAGACTAAAATTAAGGAGATGGGATTCCAATAATCCTAATGGATCGTCACAACTATTGAATTTTGGGATGCTAAAGAATTCGCGTCACTTGCAGGCTCTATTGATACATAAATAAAGACTTCAACTTAAGAAAACGATTAGAATTTTGAATTTTATTTGAGAAGATTATGTGTAGCGAGTGCCCTGCCAACAGTGCTGTACAAGATTGTGATCTCGCTTTTGTGGGCTCGAGGTTGTAGCACTAGTTTCCTTCCAGTGTACGTCTTCTGGATCTGGGAAGGTCCGATTCCGACTGCCGTGTTTAATAACCGAAGCTTTTGCCGCTTTGCTGCTGATTTAGCTTGGCTGTTATCTCACTCAGTTCATCGGGATGCGCGGTTCGACTTTGACTACGGACTCGGCTTGGCTTTGGTCATGGTTCCTCGGCTTTTGGCCTTTGGGGGCAGCGGATCGGAGGATCGGGAAGTCGTATCCTGTGTGCCTGTCAGCACATTTGGCGTCGCAATTATCGCAAGTAGCGTGTGTGTAAATTACCGTTATTAGGTGTGATCGTGCGAACGGCCAAAAGCATCTTACGGATTCAACTTTAAATTTAACTGCATCGTCAGCGGTTTCACTTCGCTTTCATTCCAGAAATCTTGGCCAATCTCTCTCTCTCTCTCAAGCCAAAGTGACAATTTCCGCTTTTCGATCCAGGCGACATGGCCAAAAAGGAGAAAAAATAACAAGTAACACCCATAAAAAGTCAAATTAATGTGACAATAGATTTGGATCTCTGAGGCTCCCGGATCTGACAGATTTCACGCTTACGATATCGGCAGTAGTAGCCCACCGCCGATCCAGTCCATCACGTTTTACACTTGTCCAGGTCGTACGTGATTCAGATTCCGATTTCCCGGGTTCAGAGGTCGAGCGCGTTTTGCCTGGTCCGGTAGCTGGTGTTTTGAATTCCAATTAGTGTTAATGAACATCGAGGACATAAAATATATAATTGATTGTGTCATTGGACGATAAGAATTTTGGGATTTTAGGGATGCTTCCGTTGGGCGACTGCTTCTGGGAATGTCAACAATTTCGTGACGAATTATTATCATAAATTCCAGCCGAACTAGAAGCGCTCCGTAAATCTGATCAAAAACCATACATACTACAGAATACTGATAATTTGCGAGGGGCTTGATGAATCAGTGCCGATAGGATTGACCTTCACTTTCTTTTCCTGGTCGTTGCACGGGTTCCAGCCTTGATCTTCGGTTCTTCAAATTTTATTGGAGAGACCACCTCAATACTCTCCTCCTGTAAAGGTGAAGAGTCCTCTTCCGTAGGAATTGATCGTGAAACGGTTCTGGCATTCTTTCTGGATTTTCCGGCCGGTTCTTCAGCTGAATTGTTGACCAAAGCCCTACTCTCCTCCTGCAAAGGAGTAGAGTCCTCTTCCGTAGGAATTGATGGAGAAACGGTTCTGGCATTCTTTCTGGATTTTCCGGCCGGTTCTTCAGCTGAATTGTTGACCAAAGCCCTCTTCCTGCCTTTTTTTGGAGATACCACTTCCATACTCTCCTCCTGCAAAAGAGTAGAGTCCTCTTCCGTAGGAATTGATGGAGAAACGGTTCTGGCATTCTTTCTGGATTTTCCGGCCGGTTCTTCAGCTGAATTGTTGACCAAAGCCCTCTTCCTGCCTTTTTTTGGAGATACCACTTCCATACTCTCCTCCTGCAAAGGTGTAAAGTCCTCTTCCGTAGGAATTGATGGCGAAACGGTTTTGGCCTTCTTTCTGGTTTTTCTAGCCGGTTGTTCATCTGTACTACTCACCGGAGCACGCCTCTTTCTTAAATTTCTTGGCGTGACTTCTCGGACCACCGCGTTATCTTCGATACCTTCATGCACTAGAGGAATGGATACGGTATCGACTACCGGCTCATCATTTTTCGCCTCCTCCTCTCTGTAACATTAATAAGGTGTATACAATTTAAATTAGTTGAAGACATGATATTAAGGAGGATATTAAAGCTATCTACAGACGAGTAGGGCAACGTTCAAAGGTTTACCCATGCCTCGGTTAAAAGAAAATTGTTCAATAAATTGAATACAACATTCTTTATAAATGGTATAGCTAATGGTAAAGCTAATATTCAATGTTGAATTCGCGTTTTTATTAATCCGATTTACCTTCGTTTAAAAAAACCAGAAAATAAGCGCATCATTTTTGAGTAGTTGTACCGACGAATGTTTGTAAATAATATAGAACCAGTTACTGTTGTACGGCTAGCTATCCGTTAAATTTTTTCAAAATTGTGTTGTTTTGTATAAATTAGATTTATTTTTTAATGCGTTTGGACGTGTCGTGTATGTTCGTGCGTGTACGATGCTAACTTGTGACTGGCATTAACCTTTGTAACCTATTTGTAGAGTGATTAGAAAGCGCTTGCTATGTTTTTATATTTGGGTCGTATTCGAATTCCAATTTTAGAAACTAGATTTAAAATTTTTACCGACTTCGCGAGAGTATCAAGAAACCTAACACCGCACGGATGTATGAACTTCGTGTCCAGACTTAAATATTTTAACTTACTTTTTAAGCAAACTATTATTAGATCCCATGATTTTTTTAAAGATGTGTGCGTGTATGATGTTCAGTTGTGACTGGCATTAAGCATGTAACCTGTTTGGAGAGTGAAAAGAAAGCGCTTGCTATGTTTTTATATTTGGTCCGGATTCGAATTCCATCTTTATTTTTGTATTCCTTAAATCCGAAATAGAAAGTAAAAAAAATATAAAAACAAATGTAATGGTAAGTTTGTTTCGGTTTTTCTACATCCACCTCCACAGACCATTCTTTTAAAACATCCCTATACATTTTCCTACCTTCTACCAATTAGATTATTCCATTCTTACCAACCAGAATCCCATAAAAAATACCACCAACAACAGATGTCGCTGCAGTGCAAGAAAGATTGACACTGTATAGAGGCCGCCACTCTGTGGTATATGCACCTGGCAACCCTGGTCAGCCGTTGAGCCTCATAGGTCCTTTGCAACCCCCGAAAAGGCACCTAAGGATCAACACTTTCCTCATCTCATGCGGTTTAATTAATCACCGAGCATTTTGGGGTTTCGAATCCGCGGCTAATTAAATTGCTACCAAAACATTTTTACCTTTCGATTTTTTCGGTGGGTGTGTTTGGGGCAAATTAAAGAAGGGTTTTCCACAAAGGGTTTGTAAGGAAAACCAAAAAAAAAAGCGAAGGCGTACAGGTGATGACGCAAACGATTTTCATTCATGATATTAGAAATACATTAGGAATGGGTACATATTTTGGTGGCAGCTTTTAAAAACCAATTTAAATGTAAACGATTGATTATTTTTCAGCGCTGCGTTCTTTTCGTGGGATCTGTGGAATCCACCTTCTATTTTCTGATCTCTTTTTGGGCAGCTGCGTTCGGCGGGATCCTTTGGGTTAATCAAGGTTTTATGCATTTATGGGTGCAATCTCGTTACCCGACTTTCCCCTTCCCTAACGGTATTGATATGGCCTGGCCAGGCGCAACAAAGTTGCCACTAGCAAGTCCAGACATTTGCCTCAGTTTCTGTTTCGCTTACAGAAGTTTTTACAGATTTATGAATGCTTTATGGCACGGGTCGTTGAGGGAGGAAAGGGAAAAAACTTCACTTGTTGAGGCGGGCATAAAAATCCAAAGTCACAAGTCACGAGCAAGTCGGTTAATGAGCAGCAATTCGTGCACTCTGCCAAAGAATTCATTTCAATTTTAAATTAATATGGAATTATGAAGGTTAGTTAAATTTATTACATTATTTATTTTTGCTCAATAGGTATATATTTTGTTTAAAAATATTATATAGTTTTTGTAATATCGTTTTAAGATTAAAATGCTCGATCGGAAAATTAAGTATACACTTGTTTTACAAATTTGGTATACTTAGTCCCGAATATTTAATATTTTCTTAAACAAAATCTTATCAATTATAAAGCAGTTTAGTTTTTTGCAAGTGTAGCGCCGACATGCAGAACGTTTTCTTGGGATCTCAAAAGTGCGGTATTTTTCTTAAAGGGGAGTGTGGAAGAGTTTCGACTGCAATTCTGATTTTGCCTTGCTGATCGTTTTGTTTTTCTTTTAATTCGCAGCCCCTCATATTATTGTGCCCTTGGTATTCATGATGCGGCACACACTTGTGGGATTTGTCTGCCGCCGCGATATTATTATTGTTCTGTGTTCTGTGCTCTGGAGCTTATGTTAATGTATATCGGACTGATCGGAAGCACGTGTCAAATGCGGCGGGACCAGAAAAGAGACTTCAGAGGGGCTGAACAATATGCCGGACCCCGAGAAAAAGTTCAAGGACTGGGGGAAAAAAGACTGTGAAAGAAAACACACAGTGGATACGCAGTTTTGGAGACAGTGAAAGTGCTACGACGACGACATCCCCTTTTCATTTCGTTTCGCCTCCGTTTCGTTTTCTTTCACATGATGGATCACATTTTATATCAAGTTCCCCCTCTCACACACACTCTCCATTATTTTTCGCTTTCAATGCAAACGACATTCGACAAAAGTGGAAGTGCATTCAAAGTCTTATTTCTTTTTTCTTATTTCTTTTGGCCATGACAAGGATCTTGCAGATCCGAGATTTAAGTCTCGATTTTCCCAAAAAGGAAAAATATATATATGTATGGTACCAAAGGGACGCAAAGGACAAAGGAGAGAGGGAGTGGGATGGGTAGGTAGAGTAGAGTAGAGAGAGCAGGACGGAATAGGCACCCACCACACAGAACATAAAACCCCTAGAAAGAGAGGACTGAAATTATTACGATCCCCTGGCAGTGCGATCACTTGTGCGCAAAGGACTCGGCACAGGGACTCGGGTTTTTCGAGGGCAGGTAGGTAGGTAGCCAGGATTCCTCGACCCCGTAGCAACCCCTGTTGCTCCTCTGCCGAAGTCGCTGCCTCTGCCGGCGCACTTACCTCGACCTCCGTGGGTATTTAAGGCCCTAGGCCAGGACGGTAGAATATCATTACGGAATCTGATTCCACACAGTCAACATCTCTCCTCCTACACAAGCAAACTCTCGCAAGGATTACCATGACGAGCATCTGCAGCAGCAACTTCCAGCAGCAGCACTATCAGCTGACCAACGGCAACATCATGTTGCTGCAGCACCAAAACCATCAGATCCAGCATCAGCAGCAGCAGCAACACCACCAGCTGATTGCCCCCAAGATGCCGCTGGGCACCAGTCAACTGCAGAACCAGCAGCAGTCGAACATCGGGCCCATGGCCCAGCAGAAGAAGAAGTTCAACTACAATAATATGCCCTATGGCGAGCAGTTGCCATCGGTGGCCAGGCGCAATGCCCGCGAGCGCAACCGTGTCAAGCAGGTGAACAACGGATTCGTCAATCTCCGCCAGCATCTGCCCCAGACGGTGATCAACTCGCTGTCCAATGGAGGACGTGGTGCCAGCAAGAAGCTCTCCAAGGTGGACACTCTGCGCATTGCCGTCGAGTACATCCGTGGCTTGCAGGACATGCTGGATGATGGCACTGGATCATCCGCCCGTCACATCTACAACTCCGCCGACGAGAGCAGCAACGATGGCAGCAGCTACAACGACTACAACGACAGCCTGGACAGCAGTCCGCAGCAGTTCCTCCTGGGAGCCGCCCAGCTGAACTCCGTCCAGGCCCACTCCTACCACTCCGCCTCGCCCACGCCCTCGTACTCCGGCTCCGAGGTCTCCGGCTATGTCAAGCAGGAGCTGCCCGAGCAGGACCTCAAGTTCGAGTCCTTCGACAGCTTCAGCGACGAGCAGCCCGACGACGAGGAACTCCTCGACTACATCTCGTCCTGGCAGGAGCAGTGAGTGGATCTCATCGAAAGCCTCCAACGACATAACCAAAAAAACAACCTGTACAAATTGTAAATACCTCAAATTGTTGCCTTAGTGAGTGAGAAACCAAGTCCCAGATTCTACATTAGCTCCTAAGTTACCACCCGACCCAAACTTTTTTTTGACACTAGCCTAAGACAATGGAAGACAATGATATAAAACACTTATTTTTTTCATAGTTCTAAGTTTGTTATAAGCATGGAAGACACTAAACTAACTAGTTTTAAGGCTAAAATAAAAACAAACAAACAATATCAAAAACAAAATTCAAACAAATCTTTTTATTCTCTGAAAACAAGAAAATTCTTCTACAATTTCAGCTACTCCAAAATTATCAGTTGAGATCACTTTCTCTTACAGGTTTTACAGCTCAAAATGTAGGATCGTTCCTAAGAGATCTAAGAAATACTTGTTGACTTTAAAAAACAAATGAGTAAGTTCGAAATACTAAAATTCTAAAACTTGTCCCTGTAACAAGTGATAAGCATTTAAAATTATTTCATTCAGGTTGTTACTTATATAAGTAACAATTCAAATAATAGATCATTTTGAAAATCTTTCTTAAATCGTAGGTAGATATTCTTCAAATATCAAAACTCAAAAAAGAACAATTTTAAAATCATAAAAGGAACATGTATTAAAAGAGGATCTTTAAAAAACAGAACAATAACTCTATCGATTGAAAAATAAAAGGGATATATGGTGTATGAATTCGGCTGGTGGAGTATTTTCAAAAGGGGTACTAGTCAAGTGACTGGGGCATCTTATCTGGGGATCTCAGGATTATTAATGTGCATACGAGAACTTAAAACAAGTGGGTAGGCAATACGAATGGTTACCCACTAAATTGCCGAATCACTCAGCTAGTTGCAGAGCCTGGACATGACTCACTATTCAGCAGGGACATGAAAGCCATGACAACCCACAGGAACTTAGGAATTCAACACCCGACCGGAAACAACAGCGAATATTTTCGTGTTTCGTTGCCCTAACGAGTTTCAATTTGGCCGGGCATTGTTAATGGCGCGTAAATTGCCCGGAAATAGGCAGTCACGCCTGAGAGGATGAAGTGGTCCTGGTCCAAGGATCGGGACTCGTAGACAGGCAGCGCGCAGGATCGATCCACGTGGCTGGCGCACCCCGCGATATAGCGATACAGCGATACAGCTTTCCATCGTCAAGCTGGACGACAACGATGTCGACGAGCCGTGAAATGCACTTCCGCTAACCCCCGAGTTGTAGGTAAACCCACCCCAAGGAAAAGGTGAAAACTTTTGGGCGTGTGCCACAAGATGATGTGGAATATGCAGGAATGTCATCTAGGCAGGGCAACTGCCACGCCCACATTATGCAAATCGCCAATTGCGCTGGACACGTGCACATTTAAATGCAAAGGTAGGGAAATTGAACGCCAGGATCGAGCAATGATCCCCGGTAGGATGTCTTATAGGGACAGGACGACTCTACAGCGAACAGGAAGCATATCGTCTTGCCGAAAATTCCAATATTTTTCCTCAAAAAAAAAAAAAAAATAATAATAAGGAAGAGGAAGGAGGCGAAGGATGTAGGGATAGGTAGTGGACGAGGACAATGCGAAATGTGATTGTATGTCAGCTTAAGATAAAACCAGGAAACGAAACGCAGACGAGGGAGAGTGAAACTCTCTCGTGGCCCATTGTTACCGGATATCAAAAGAAGCTTAGCGCAGATCCAGAAATCCAGAAGAGATCCGGGACTGCAAAATCTCAGGACCTGTCCGGTTTCGGTGCCTAGGTGTCAAAATACGGGGCTAAGCCAATGTCCTTTAATAGGCTAGCCCCGGAGTTTTATGCAATCTTGGCTCACTGGCTCGTTTGCGCAAAAAAAAATATCCATTTTCACCAGCTGATCCCCGCTTTTCTCCTCTAGATCCCTGGGTTCAATCTCAAATAACAGAGAGCACTGAACTGCTGCAATAAATTCATTTTCATCTTCTGGTCCTCTCAGGAAGTAACTTCTTTTGGTCCTTGTCGCAGGAAGTGCGTATTTGTTTTGCATCTTCGGCCAGACACAAAAGTCCTTCGGCCCTTCGGTCGTTTATTTATTTTTGTAGATGCGCCCCTCGGAAATACGAGCCAAATGTTATTCTATCATGTCGCAATTCAAAGGAAACGACATCCAAGGACACGCAGGACACTTGTAGTTCTACTTGTACTTGTACTGGCACTTGTACTTGTTCATGTTCATCTCCATTTATAAATGGCAGTTTGAGTTATGTGACTTTATGACGGCGTCGCCGTCGCGATCGCTTCGCTGGCCAAGATTTATGACCCATGTGTCAAAATACGATCCCCGGCGTTCCCATTCCTCTTCGGTTTTGGGAAGTGCTCTACTCCCTGGACCATCCATTGATCGGATCGTCTTGTTAAATTTCGCACTTAACCAGGCGTCAAGTGGCAGGCAGTAGTTCCATCTATAATTCTGGACACCGACTCTCCTTCCTGGTAGCTCGTTAATGAGGCGACACCGAGTGCTACCAGTCCACAGGATCCAATATCTATCCGACTATCCAATTGAGTTGAGTTGTCCAAGCAATTCGGTCGAAGTGGCCAAGTGTTTGGATACCAGGAAGGTGGGCAGGAAGGATACTCGTTTCCCGAATGACTGCTGCCAAAACATTTACTGCTTAAACTAACAAGAAAGCGATTCAATTGAGGAAAACAAGACATCATAATGGGTAAAAAATAAGAAGTCATTAAGTGAGTTTCCCATATGAAATGAGTTCCAAACATATCGATGGTTTATTAGAAATTTGTACATGTCTTTATTAGGAATTTATAAAACATTTTACCTCCTTGATATAAAACATATCAACAAAAGAAATCTGATGATTTTGCTAGAGAAACTTTCATAGCTCTCCAATGGTCTACTTGTTGCAACCCCATCTGGATCTTGGGAAAGAACAATCTAATCTCACCAGTTGAAAACCTCTCGATCCTCATAGCCGAACATCTCATTTGGCCTGTCAGCTCCACATGCATTCTAGTGATTAGCTAACAGCATGATATGATACCCGCGTGGATCGCTGGAAATCTGCTATCTACCGTCCTCCACCCACGCAATCTTGTTCTTTTACCAAGCCGTACTGATTTCATTTCACTTTTGGTTCAGTTTTGTATCGATCACTACGCTACATTTAGCACTGTGTGAATTGACGGTAGTTAAATGACTTTGCACAGCATTGTGATCTCATGATTTCGGGATCTCGAGAACTCGGTATGGGGACTTTGACTTGATTGTTGACATGATGGGAACCGGAGAAACTGTAGAAACTGGAGAAACTAACCGCAGAATCAACAATGGCGCATATGAGACAATGCAGCACACGTGTCCGATTCGATTCTCTATTTTTCTGCTTTTTTCTACCGCTGACTGACTATCCGGGTCCAATAAACTATCAGAGGCAATCAATGTCAGAGCGTTTCTAGAGCAAGCAAAAGCCAGATTCAAAACTCTAGACTCTAGACAATGCGATGCGCTATCGAAGGATCCTACCATTGAAAAGACTTCGCTGGAATATCCTGTGGCCCATTGTCCTCGAATGAAAAGTGATTTCTTCTTTTATTCGTCTGCTGATTTCACGACATCATCACCGACGAAAAATAAAAGGAATAAAAAGGAGAAGTGCGCGTTTCACTTTACAAAAAATGGTTCATTGATGCGTGGATCTTTGGATCTCTCCTCCGAGGATCCATCAAAAGGTCAAGATGCGGGAGACTAGGCATTCGGTACGCCATTACACGCAAATCCCAGCAGCTTTATGGCGTTCCTCCTGGCAGGACATTAGCATTGGGTATTCGAAAACAGGCGTGTCCGATGCGAAGGTGTCGCTAGGAATGGCCCACCACTGGGCGTGGAAAATCCTCTACCTGTTCCCTCCCTTCCTTCCCATTTTTGGGAAACTTTCGGGATTTTCTTCCGCCTCGCGTGGAAATTTGCGAAACGAACAAGTGAAATGGCGTGAAAAACCGAAGACGATCGAGAACACGTGTTTGTTGTTTGGTTCAAAGGGCGCGACAAATGTCACGGACTAACGATCTCCGACAGCGAAAACACAGCCAGATATCAGGGGATATATGTATATAGTATATAGGGAAAGTGGGAGGATTTAGAGGGAATAACAGGAGGAGGAAAGTATCACAAACCATTCTCGAGTTAAGTCGGATTTACGGACTTGGACTTAATGAACATAAACATGATCATCATTGAGCCGAGGCCGAGGTATACAGGCATATTTGACAAGAAATATTAATAGATTTATTTATGTGGAAATTTTTATACACTTTTTATGATTTTAGACATTGAATTAAAATGCTAGGCATCCTATGATTTGGTTTAATGGATTATTTAAGGGTTATCCCGTAATCTTCTTTATAATTTTCTGGTTCCTTGGTCAGTGCATCTTTCTTGACCCTGGGAACCTTGGTACCAATGGAAAAAAGAACCGACTTAGACAGAGATTTACTAAATACAAGAAAAAATACGGATCGGGAAAATCAGATCAGGGCAGAAAATCAATGCAGACACAAAGGCAGCGAAACCACAAAGACCAAAAAAAATAACCCGAGCGCGGGGTCAAAATCGAGGTTGAGGTTAAAAATTGAGGTTGCGGATGGCTGGTGTCACTCCATATCTTCAAAGCAAAGTCACCGACCCAAAACGAAGGAGAAAAAAATGTCAACCACAAGACTGCGGCGATCGATGACGATCTACCATCGAGATTCCCTTTATTTTTCATTCAGAGCCCAGGATAATGATCGAGATGATGACGTTGGCCATTCCGACCGACCCCCCGACCTTTGATCTGCCCCGATTTTTGTCTATTTTTTGCCCGCCGCTTTGTTTTTGCGACTGCCTCCTACGATGCGATAATCGATTTATCAAAAAAAGCAAAGCAAAAACCAAAGATCTCCGCAATGCGCTTTGCAAAAGTATTGTGAAAACTCCAAAAGCAAACCGCCGCCCAAGACAGCCAATTTTTAATGCACATTGAGGTGCATTAAGACGTGAAATTGTCACCATTGTTTGGCCATTGTCCCCGCTGCAACGGCCCACAGTCAAAAATTCAACATACAACAGCAATGGCAAAGAGAGCATCTCGGACCAAGTTCCACTCGGAACTCGAAGGATAA